TATGGTGAGCTTCCCCTTCTTCCACAGAGCTGCACATTTACCCAGACCCTGAGTTCAAATCCAAAGCCTGGCAGAAAAAACGGGTTGAATTGCAAGCCAGGGAGCTAATTTCTTTTAATATTATTTTTGGCTCAAGAAGGGGTTTGAACTCAGGTCGTGGCAACTCTGCCTCAGCTTCGATCACCCAATGGTAGGGTGCAGCCACTGGACCCACAGTTGATTCTGGGATCCTAGATCCCCCGGCCTTGTGTGGGAAAAAAATGCATAGAAGAAATGCAGCGAGATGGCTTTTTTACCTTTTCTTCTTTTGCACCATGACCCTCCTGAGTCTGAATGACACTGTTGCAAAGGTACTTCACCTTGCATTGCTAAAGTTTGGCAGACTATTTGGGAAGTCATAGACCCAGATGGCAATGTAGGCCCTGATTTTGAATGCCCCTCCTGACACCAACCAATGGCAGGAGCTTCTAAGAGATTCGTTCCCATCCATAGGAATAACAGTGGAATGATATCAATGTTACGGTTGAATGAGTTGATTGTGAATGATGCTCCTACAAAATTAGACAGCATGATTTCAGGAAACTGATTTTATTTAATGTTTATTAAGTATTAAAAGAATACTATTGCTTACAGTAATGCAATAATTTCAGCACCCTGATTGATTTACTTAATAGTTTGTTAAGGATGAAAACAATAACATTAATTACATGGAGGCATAATAAATACCCAAGAATTGGTAGGAATGTAGTCTATATAACTGAATATCGGATAGACATCTCTGGCACTCTATAAATATATATATATATATATATATATATATATGTATATATATATATATATATAGATTTATTTATTTATTAGCATACTACCATCTGTGTGTCAATCTATTCTTATTTTGTCAACCACTGGGGCTCGATCTCAGGTCCTAGGAACTGCCTGTCAGCTCAATTTTCCCCAGAATGGCATGCTGACACTCAACCATTCATGAATTGGGCCTCGGAGGCTGTGAGTTCAGATGCCAGGAATTCTAAAATATGAATCATGGAGTAAGAAGTTGATGGTGACACGTTTTCCTTTTATGTGAAACTCCTGGGTGTCAGGTATGAAGTGGAATACATATGCAGACCTATATCCTATGTAATCAATGTTCTATGTGTCATAATACTCAATAAAATGAATAGTCAATACATGAATAAAAAAATAAAATGAATAATTACACTGAACGCACTATGAAGTCAACATATGTGTGTAAACATTAATCACATATTTAAAATGTACACAAATAGGATGCTTTCTAGTGGTGGGGATTGATTTCATGCCTAAGGAACAGACTTGAATTTCTTGACTTCAAGGAGGCAAGCTTCCCCTTCCCACACAGTCCAACAGTGTTACCCAGACCATGAGTTCACATCCCATTCCTGGCAGAAAAAAATGCCACCTTTATACTATGTGACGTCCAATTTTTAGGTATTTCATTATGCCTCCATTTAATGAATGTAATTTTTAAATGCTTCATAAAGTATTCATTAAAATCGATCAGTGTACCATAATGTAATTGTGTAAAATTTTATCCTAGAATCATTCAAAAACTGCCCATTCAATCATGACATACATCACATTCCATTGGTAATCATATGGATAGGAATGAGTTTCTTAGGATATTTTGCCATTTGGAGGTGGCAGGACCAAGATTCAAACTGTGGGCTCCAGCTCCTACCAATTAAACCCGAGGATAGGGAACTCACCGATCTGTCCAAGAATATCAGCAAGACCAATGATTAGGCAGGCACCAGTGGCTCTCAGCAGTCCTCCTTCATACTTACAAGGCTGTGACAGGAGGATCATGGTGAAAGTTATCCTAGGCATGAAAGTTGTTGAGACCCCTGTCCAATTGTGCCAACAAAACCAGAAAAAGAGCTGTGTGGCTCCAGTGGTAGAGGGGTAGCCTTGAGCAAGAGCAGCTCACGGACTGTGCCTATATCCTGAGTTGAAGGTCCAAGAGTGGCAACAAACAGACATACAGAACAATCTGTGCAGCCATCCCGCTAAAGCATGTCTCCCTCTTGTCTCCAACTGGATTGGACAAGGCACTGCTGTCATCTTGACTCCACCCATTCTGCCTGGATCACAGGATCCAGACCCCCATTCTTTCATGGTTCTTTCTGTTCAATGGGATACAAGAATGGTGGCCACACTCACATTACATTCTGCCCTGTAGCACTGGGATTCCCTCTGTTGGTTGACACCACTACCAGGAGTTGAGGAAGGTAGAGGTGACTGAGTGGTGAGCAAGAGACTTGAGGCCTTGGAGAAGAGGCCTTGCTCAGCCCCAGCACATGCCCGCCCGTGCCTCAGCCTTCTACTACCCTTCCCCACGGTGCAGCATTTCAAACCTTGTGCTGCCTGCTCAGACCTGTGGTGTCTCTTGTAGTCCTCAGGCAATTGTGCAATAGTGCACCACTGGCTGGCTTGCGGCTCTGATCTGTTCCTGGCCACCCTGTACTCTGTTCCGGACCTGAGTGTCCACCATGCCTCTGCCATCGCTGCTCGCCAGAGCAGCTGCCAACAACTTCTTCCTGCAGCACATCTGAGTGGCTGCCATGCAGGCCCTCCCTGCCACCCCATATTCCCCTTTTCCCCCCTCCTCACCCAGACCCACACCTCCCTGGTGCCCCGCATTCTGGCCAAATGCATCCCAAGGTGGAGATGGGTGTTGACCCGAGGAAAAGGGGAGATGCAGGATTGGGTGAGGACTGGGCGCCACGGAGCCCCTGACTTGGAGCAGTGGGAGCCACAGAGCTGCACATCTGCACTCTTCCTCTCCCTGCTTGGAACTTGGTGGCTTTAGTCAGAGGGGAACAACACATCCACACCTGCCTTCTGGTGTCTTTTCGTGGGGGTGGGGGTGTTGGATGCAGATGATAGGACCCCCTTGCTATGTGAGCCCTTGTCTTCTGTGCTTGGTCACCCTTTTCAACTGAAGAGGGTCCCAGAAAAGCCCAGTAGGGAGGTAAGGGTGCAGGGGGTCAGAACAGAAGGTGAATATCTGGGAGGAACACCCCCCCCCCCCACACACACACACATACACCCGGCCTATCTCCTCCCCCCCCCCCCAGCTGTCAACAGTTCTCATAGGCTGATCACATTTTCCAGCTCTGCCAGCTTCTGCTGGTGCTCCCGGTCCATCTGGTCTCCAACAAACTCAGGAGAGGCACTGCTCTGAATCCATATGTGTGTGTGTGTGTGTGTGTGAGAGAGAGAGAGAGAGAGAGCGAGAGAGCGAGAGAGACAGACAGACAGACAGACAGACAGACAAACAGACAGACAGAGAGATGGAGAGACAGAGAGACAAAGAGACAGGGAGAGACTGAGAGAGACAATGAAAGAGACAGAGAGACAGAGACAGACAGACAGACAGAGAGACAGAGAGAGACATAGAGAGAGAGACAGAGAGATCATCTTTCTCCTTGTACGGCCTGACTGTACTGAAGTGAGTAATAAGTTGGCAAATTACAGGTGCTGCATGGATGAGTGTTGTCACTGGTCTGGACGTGTGTGTGTGTGTGTGTGTGTGTGTGGGTGGGTGGGTGGGTGGGTGCGTGCACGTGCATGTGTAGAAGTGGGTTGTAACAAGGAGGCTGGATGTTTTGGTAACTTCTATCTGCTATCTTTGAAGGGGGGTGCATGGGCTTCACCGCTGAAGTCTGGGGGCCTGGAAGGGTGAGACGCTTGAAGGGGACTCAGCACATTTAAAGTACAAGAATAAGGGATCTCTTTTACCTGGAGCTGTGTACTCTCGGGTCTGGTAGTTGGCAGTGGGGTGCTTGGGAAGACCTGGGAGTGGCCCGCAATCGGTGGCTTCCCAGGAGTACAGAGAGCATGGCCAACACTTAGTAAGGATATGAGCCCTGCTAGTATGGAGCACAGCAACATATGTCAGACTCCGGGTCTTGTCATCATGATGTCTGATGGTCAAGGCCAACCCTGTTTTGAATCTTGAACTGTGACATTCAGATCACAGCCTCCTGAGTAGCTAGGATTATAGGCATGAGTTTCGGGTAGTGGGCCTCTGGTTCTTAGGTATGTTAGGAATTGACCTCAATGCCTTAGGCTTGCCAGTCAGGTCTTCTACCATGCAAGACAAGCTTTTCTGTCTTGGGTATTTCTGAGATGGAGACTTAGTATATGCTAAGGCTGGGCTGGATCGAGGTCCTCCTATCTGTGACATGTGTGCGCCACCAGGCCCTGTCCTCTGTAGTTGGGATGGTAGACATGTGGTGCTACACTCAGTCATTGGTTTAGATAGATTGTCCCAAATTCAGTCCATGGTAGCCGATTCTTAACCACAGGTTAAGCTCTAGGTTGGGCCCTCACCATTGGACTTCAATCTCCTCATGGGACAGTTGTGAGGAAACAAGGGATTAATACAGAGAGATCTCTGGAGCACGGCCAGGCACAGAGTGAGCCGCCCTCAGATACGGTTCTCAGCAGTTCTGTGAGCATATGACAGAAAGATACCAGGAAAGAGCTCAAAAGGTGTGTGTTAATGGTATCCCTATGGGGAAATGGATCCTTCACTTTGTTCAGTTTTGCAGATGTGGAAACTGAGGCACAGAGAAGCTGGGTGACCTACATGACTCCCACATGACAGGAAGCTCAGCCTGACTTGCTGAGTCAGGCTCCCTAGGACAATGGGTGCTATTCAGTAATTTCTTGTGGTAGGAAATCCACTTCTTTTCAGTCGTGTGGCTTGAACTCAGGGCCTGGCTGTCCCCGAGCTCCTCAGCTCAAGGCTAGCACTCTACCACTTGAGTCACAAGGCCACTACCGATTTTCTTGTGGTTCTTTGGAGATAAGAGTCTCACAGTCGTTCCTGCCCGGGTTGGCTATGAAACATGATCCTCATATCTCAGCCTCCTGTGTACTTAGGGTTATAGGCCTGAACCATTAGCACCTGCCTTAAGTGTATTTCTGAACTTCTTTCTCTTTCTCTCTCTCAGGAACTGATTGAATGGGTGCTGGAGGAGGTGGCCCAGTGTCCCCATGTGGCTGGAACCAAGGTGGTCCTCTCATTCTGGAGGTGGGCTGTGGGTCAGGAGCTGTCTCGCTCAGTCTGTTGTATGAGCTCCATGAGGTAAGCCCCTCTATGCCTACCTAGACCATGATGGTTATTCATTGTCCATCTAGCCTTACTTGACACAGTATTGTGTTCAATGTCCTTTTCTAGCAAAAATTTCTGGCCAAATTTTGATACATAGTTACAGAATGAAAATGTAATGCCATCTTAAGAAAGTCATTTAAGGCTGTGGGATTGTGGCTTCATGGTATGGTGATTGCTTAGCATGCCTGAAAACCTGGGTTCAATTCCTCAGTACCAAATAAACAGAAAAAGAAACACTGGAAATGGTGCTGTGCATCAAGTGGTAGAGGGTTAGCCTTGAGAAAAAAAAATCTGAGGAATAATTCTCTATCCCTGAGTTTAAGCCCCAGGACTGGCAAAACAACAACAACAACAACAACAAAAATTTACCTAGTAAATGCAAAATAAAGAACCTATACTTGGAACATATAATTACTCCTTCCATACTGATACCTGACAATAGTCCCTAATTCATGTACTTTACCTATATTAGGATACTGTGTTGAAAAAAAGTTTTCTTCATAAGGTCATGGCAATTAATGCCAAGAATGTGCTTAGATGTCAGGTGAAGATTAACTCTGGAAATTCAAAGATTCAAGGCTTTTGAGTGGTCACTTCTAATCACAATGAGAAGGGTAGTCTATGTGAGATTTGGAAAACTTTTTGGCCAGTCATGGCACAAAAAAGGCAGAGGCTAATTAATAGTTGTGACAGAAGAGGAGGAATAACTCCAGATGGAAGGAATAAATGACAGTAACTATGGTATAGCAGAAACCATTCTAGGGAATCATTTTTGGTTATTGAAGAACTAATTATCAACTACGCTTATTCCTCATTGCCTGTAGCATTCTAAATCTCTTAGGCTAGTTCTTAATCTCTGTGTGATAAATGTATCTCCCTCTATGCTGTTCTTTCATACCTTATATCCTTTGCTGTCTAAAAACATCTTTCCGTATTTCTGTATGAACCTTTCCTGATACTGAATACACCTACACAGATGGAAGAGGATGCTAATGTAAGGGTTCCATAGCTCATGAGTCATTAATGTAACAGCATGGAAAAGTAGGACATATTTATTGCTACCTCAATTAATCTGAAAAGCGGCAATGTCACATAATTTGGTTCAGATTTCTATTCTTTGTATTTTGTCTTTTGTCTATTGTCATTAACTGCACTAAACACAAATATGAGCCGGGTGCTGGTGACTCATGCTTGTAATCCTAGCTATTCAGGAGGTTGAGACCAGAGGATTGTGGTTAAAACCAGCTTAGTCAGGAACACCCATGAAATCCTTATTATCATTAAACCACCAGAAACCCAGAAGTGATGCTGTAGCTAAAGTGGTAGAGCGCTCAACTTGAGTTGAATATCTGAGGGACAGTGCCCAGGATCAGAGTGCAAGCCCCACAACTAACAAAAAAGTGCAAATATGACTTTAAGTTTCCCCAAAAGGAATGATGAAGTAAATAGTAATCTTCCCAAGCAGAGAGAGTAATTCCAAAATGATTCAGTGCACCTACTTTTGCTGAGTTACTTAAGTTATGTCTTCTTTGCTGAACATATTCTCTTCTTTTAAAAATTGTCAAATATTAACTTAATAATAATCTTCATCTAATATTTCTTAGTTCGAAAGAGAAGTCCATACATTTGATGTCACTTAGCTTTCTTACTATCTTAGTTCAAAGTCAACTCAGGAGGCAGAGTCTGTCAAACTCTTAACTGTAATTAAACACCGAAAAAGCTAGAAGTGGAGTTCTGGCTCAAGCAGTAGAATACTAGCTTTGGAGTCAGGTGGGCAGGAAAAATAACTGTAGAGGGACAGGGTGCACCCTCTGAGTTCAAACCCCAGAATGAGCACAAACTAAACAAACAAGCAAACAAAACAAACCCCAATATTTCTTTGGGACCCTCTTTGAAGAAGTACTGGTCTGCGGAGAGGCTCCTTTTGCTGCTCATACTCACTGGATCCTGCTTTTTTGAAATCCTTCTTGCTATTGAAAACTCAGGGCCAGAATAGAGGAATTGATAACTGAATCCTGCCACAAGAGAATCATCTCAGGAGTGAAACATCCATCCATAAGACACTTTAAACCTCCATATCTTTGTTTCTTTGCAGTATAACACTTTTTTTTTGGGGGGGGGGTGGTCCGGTCATGGGGCCTGAACTCTGGGCTTGGGCGCTGTCCAGTTATAAACAGTGTTGGATTACATACAATAAGAATGACAAGAGGAGAGTTTCAATATCAATAAATAAAATCACATAAGCAGGTACAGGCAGTAAAAATTACTAACGTTATTCCTGCAATTTTTCTAATGTGTACTCACTTTTCTTGGTGGTATTTTTTCTAATAAATAAAATCGTTTATTTCCACATTTTGATGGACTAAGCTATAGTTTTCACCTAAGTGTGATTAGTTCAAATAACATTCTCATATAGATAGTATTCAAACCAATGTTTCCAAAGATATATTAAGAGTATGTTCTTCAGTACAGCTGTAAACACATGAATCAATTTACATAATACCACTTACATATCTGTAGTTACCATAAAAGGACACAGGCCGTAGAGCCAGTAGTTAAAATTTATTTTTATTTCTGTGTGAAACTATTTGTGAATGTATACCAACAAATTGAATTTGACTCTTTGTTTATAAGCTAAGGTGGAAAACGTAAGGACTCTTCACTTATCATTTTTCTTGCTCCAGAAGTCAACAAATATATTCTTCAATATTTCTGGTAGATTACCTCCATTTACAGATGAGAAATGTAAGGCCAACAGTCAATATAGTGAGTAAATAATGATACTGGATTTTGTATATGAGCTCTTCACTCTGTGTGCTTAAAAGGAGAGTAACTTGGTGATGGAGAGGACCAATATGAAAAGACTATGTGGAAAAATCATACTTTGTAAACGGTTGTTTTAGGACTAGAGGATCAGTGATGAGTATTTGAAACAGGCTGGTGTCAGGCGCATAAAAGGGAGTACATAGAAATTGTGTTAGTGACAGAAACAGAAAATCTTGATCATTCATCTTATCTAATGGCAGGGAGTAGAAGGGTAAGAAGAAATCTAAAGTGCATCCACATCTCTGGCTAGCATTTGTGTTAGTTATATTCTTGGTGATAAGGACTACAAGTGGAAATGATGGATTTAGAGGAAAAAGCTCTCAGAAAATTCTAAAGTTTATGTTACACAGATGCAAAGATAGGTCTGTTTAGATATCATCAAAATATCCACGACCATAAATATGAAAAAATAATAAAATCAGGGGTATTATTAAAGGGAAGAGGAAAAGGAAAATTCTGAAAAATGTGCGAGCAATGTGAGCAACAGTGTGGACAAGATTAGAAGAAAAAGATAAATAAGGAAACAAAAAAGTAATAAACACAGATTTCAGAAGTAAAGGAAGGAAAGAATTTGCAGGAAGGTATTGAATGAAATATGCTATTTGGATTTGAAAAGTAAACGACATAGACAAGTTCAAAAAGAACAGTGTTTTGGTGAAAGTCATATTGATAAAATTTTGAGATATGAATGTGAAGTCATGAAATTCTGGATCCATGAATTCAACAGATCCTGTTGATTTTAAATGCAGGGAACAAAGGCTTATATCCTGACCTTAGAAGAATTATACAGATGTAACTCTCATTAACTACTTAGAGGTATTCTGTGAATATTTTTTGAAGACTTTTTTAGCCAGGAGTTTATAGATTGAACTACAGCACAAACCAGCCTAATTTGTGCTACAGTTCCAAGGAGTGACCCATGTATCCACACTAGTTTGGGATTTTATTGAAATGTCTTTAGATATGGTTGGATATCTTATCAGCCTAATCATTATAAATGTAGGACAATAGCACCAAATATTAGGTTGAACATACAGCTTTACTGATGTGACTGAAGACTCCTCGAATTGATTCTTCTTTAGAATAAAAAAATGCCTCAATAGCCATTGACAAATCGTAACTGCCATATACTCTATTTAAATCTAATTTTTGTTAGGAATATCTCCATGCTGTAATAACCCTGTCAATCAACCTGCCACAAATTCTTATATGTAGGAAGTGCTCTTATAACCTTCAAGTTTTATTGAATGGAAGAGTTCAGACATTACCCTCACCACTAGGATTAAATGCCTAAAAAGATTAGACATTTTGTGTTAATGCCATTCTTTTATTTTTTCATACACATTGGCAAGTGGGGAACGATTCTGATGTAACAATAATACAATTTTGACTTGTACTAACACAACATCTAGAATCTACTGTTAATTCAGATACTTACTAATTAGCTCCATAATTTGTGGATATTTATATTTCTCCTGGTAAAACTAATGAGCTCCAAGAAATTGCCCCTAAGGAGCCTTTCAATTACAATATCACTGTTTGTCTCATAATGCTTTAAATTCTACATCCTCGAATGTGGGCATAGGTTTATACTGTGGAACTTTTCTCCTCAGAGAGTGAGTACTACCCTATTGTTTAACATGGACAAAGTACCTTGATAAATAAACTGGGCGTGTGCAAACAAGAACTGGTAGTTGAACAATGTTTTAGCAGTTTGTAAAGATGAAATGGAAATAGAGCAACCATGATCTCAAAAGGAATGTGCAAAGAAGACAAAGGCACAAATTAGAATGTGCCAAGGGAATGCTGAAGTATAATTTCAAATTATGTGCTCAGGTGTGAGGATGTGTTCAAAGTACTGCTTCTGAGAATGTAGTTTAATATCTTGGGGAAAACTGCTTTAAACTAGTCTGGCATAATGGTACAAGTAGAAGCCCCTAACTCTGACTGTAATCAGCCACAACATAATCAAATTAGGGACTATTTTCCAAGTGCAACGTGAGAAAAAGAGGGCTCATCACAGTTAGTGTTCAGGTTGAAGTAATGGAAAT